TAATATATCTGGTAGACTAATATATCTGGTAGCCTAATATATCTGGTAGACTAATATATCTGGTAGACAAATTATATGGTAGATCCTAATATCTGGTAACCTAATATATCTGGTAGACTAATATATCTGGTAACTAATATATCTGGTAGACTAATATATCTGGTAGACTAATATATCTGGTACCTAATATATCTGGTACCCTAATATATCTGGTAGACTAATATATCTGTTAGACTAATATATCTGGTACCCTAATATATATGGTAGACTAATATATATGGTACCCTAATATATCTGGTAGACTAATATATCTGGTAGACTAATATACCTGGTAGACTAATATATCTGGTAGACTAATATATCTGGTAGACTAATATATCTGGTACCCTAATATATCTGGTAGACTAATATATCTGGTAGACTAATAATCTGGTACCCTAATATATCTGTTAGACTATATAAATGGTACCCAAATATATCTGTAGACTAAATACCGTAGACTATATATCGAAACTATATATTTTACTTTAAATTGGTAGCTAATTATCTGGTACCCTTTGGTACCCTAATATACCCTGGTAGACTACTACCCTATTATCTGTAACTCTATATGGTAACCTATATTCTGGTAGACTAATATATCTGGTAGACTAATATATCTGGTAGACTAATATATCTGGTAGACTAATATATTGGTACCCTAATATATCTGGTAGACTAATTATAGAAACTAATAATCTGGTAGACTAATTATCTGTAACTAATAATCGGTAGACTAATATATATGGTAACTAATATATCTGGTAGACAATATATCTGTAGACTATACCCTGGTAGACTATATATTGGTAAACTAATATATCTGGTAGCTAATTATTGGTACCCTAATATATCTGGTAGACTATATATTGGGTTTAACTATATATCTGTCCCTAATATATCTGTAGATAATATCGGTAGACTAATATTTGGTACCCTATATACGGTACCTATATTCTGTACCTAATATTGGAGACTATATATCTGGTACTTTTATTTGGGTTTAGACTAATATATCGGGAGACTAATAATCTTGTGCTAATATATCTGTAACTAATATATCAGTACCTAATATATCTGGTAACTTTTTAACTAATTATCGGTAGACAATAATTTTGGAAACTAATATATCTGGTAGACTAATATATATGGTACCCTAATATATCTGGTAGACTAATATATCTGGTAGACTAATATATCTGGTATCCTAATATATCTGGTAGACTAATATATCTGGTAGACTAATATATCTGTACCTAAAAATCTGGCCCATAATCGGGTAGACTAATATCGGGGAACTAATTATCGGGGAAACCTAATATATCTGGTAGACTAATATATCTGGTACCCTAATATATCTGGTAGACTAATATATCTGGTAGACTAATATATCTGGTAGCTCATTGGTTCATTATTATGTTATGTACACCAGAGTTCTGTCATCTCTCCAGTCCCCACTTCCCTCCTCCTCCCTCGGTGTGTTTCCCTGTTATGTGTTTGAGTACCAGGCCATCTGAGACAGGCACATTTTTGGACGCCTTCACCCAGGCTCTCTGCCCAACCCTGATAAGTGTGTGTGTGTGTGGAGAGAGGGTCACACATGAAATGGTCTCCCTCCTGCCCTTTCATCTCCTCCAGCCCAGTGCTCAGCCCTGGCAGGACACCTCTGAGTGTGTGTGGACGTGAGGACAAGGCCAGCACTGTGATTACCAGGCCTGACAAGTGGAGACTGGGAGAGGGAAAAGGGGGAGGGGAGAGAGGGGGGGAGAGAGGAAGGATGAGAAGGGGGAAGGGTCAAGGAGAGAGAGACACAGAGAGAGAGAAGAGACCAGAGAGAGAGAAAATACACAGAGAGAAAGGGGCCCGAGGAGAGAGAGAGGAAAGCCCAGAGAGAGAGAGAGAAAAGAAAAAAAGAAAACACAACAGAGAGAGAGAGAGAGAGAGAGGGATAAAAGAGGGGAAGAAACACCAGGGAAAAAGAGAGACAACCAGAGAAGTTGAGAAACGTAGAACCAAAGACAGGATGGGAAAAAGGTTTTGGTAAAAAACCACCTTACCTCTCCTTCCTTTTTGTGCGCTTCCCGGACAAAGTCCTCAGCCCCTGAATTACAGCCACAATGGTAGAGCTCAGGACAGTTCGGATGTTTACCTCAGACATATAGTTACTGGTCACTGGACCCCCTTTAAACAGAAGTACTGAGGGTGAGGCCATTAGATTAGAGATGAGAGGGGGAGAAATAGAGGGAGAAAGGGTGAAGAAATAGGAAAGAGGCCCACCTCGGAGCTTTTTTGTACCGTGCCCGTCCTGTTTGCTGTGTTTTTGGGCCAGACCGGAGAGGGTCTAAGCCAGACCAGGGGTGTGCTGTGTGGGCCAGCTGGAAGGGTCTCACCAGACCGTGTGTTCTTTGTTTGGCCCGGCGGAGAGGGCTCAGCCAGAACCAGGTTGTGCTGTGTTGGCCAGACCGAGAGGTCCGCCAGACCAAGTTTTCTGTGTTGGCCAGGCTGGAGAGGTCTCACCCGACCAGGGGTGTGTGGTTGGCCAGGCGGAGAGGGTCTCACCAGACCAGGTGTGTGCTGTGTTGGCCAGCCGGAGAGGGTCTCAGCCAGACCAGGTGTGTGCTGTGTTGGCCAGACCGGAGAGGGTCTCAGCCAGACCAGGTGTGTGCTGTGTTGGCCAGCCGGAGAGGGTCTCAGCCAGACCAGGTGTGTGCTGTGTTGGCCAGACCGGAGAGGTCTCAGCCAGACCAGGTGTGTGGCTGTGTTGGCCAGGCTGGAGAGGGTCTCAGCCAGACCAGGTGTGTGCTGTGTTGGCCAGACCGGAGAGGGTCTCAGCCAGACCAGGTGTGTGCTGTGTGGCCTGAGAGGCTCGCAGACCAGGTTGGGTTGGCCAGAGGGTCTCAGCCAGACCAGGTGTGTGCTGTGTTGGCCAGGCTGGAGAGGGTCTCAGCCAGACCAGGTGTGTGTCTTCATCGTTCATCAGGGATCTCTCTCTTTCTCTCTCCCCCACCTCCATCTCTCTACCCCCTCCATCTCTCTCTCCCCCTCCATCTCTCCCCCATCCGTGTGGCTCAATTGGTAGAGCATGGCGCTTGCAACGCCAGGGTTGTGGGTTTGATTCCCACGGGGGACCAGTATGAAAAAAGTATGAAAATGTATGAACTCACTACTGTAAGTGGCTCTGGATAAGAGCGTCTGCTAAATGACAAAAATATAAAAATGTAAATGTCATCTCTCTCCCCCTCTTCTCTCTCTTTCTCTCTCTCCCCCCTCCATCTCTCTCTCCCCTCTCTCTCTATTTCTCTCTCTCCCCCCTCCATATCTCTCCCCCCTCATCTCTCTCTCCCACTCCATTCTCTCCCCCCTCATCTCTCTCTCCCCACTCCATCTCTCTCCCCCTCCATTCTCTCTCCCCCTCCATCTCTCCCCCCTCCATCTCTCTCTCTCTCTAGTCTGATAGCCCTATTCCAGTATGTATGTATACCCAGTGTCACGCCACCTCTCTTCCCAAACAGCTTATTCAATCCAGATCGCAATCTCCCTCACATATATATGTATCTTTAGTGTGTGTGTGTGTGTGTGTGTGTGTGTGTGTGTGTGTGTGTGTGTGCGTGTGCGCATTTGTGTGTGTGTAGATCTCTTATCTGCTAGTGTGCTCAGGCTGAAATCAGAGATATGACTGAAATGCAAACCAAACCATCTCTGTTACACACGGTTGTCCTTTACCCGCCTGCTGACTGAATGACCCCCACTCCTTGTGTTGTGTGTGTGTGTGTGTGTGTGTGTGTGTGTGTGGTGTGTGTGTGTGTGTGCTTGCCATATGTTTCAATACCGAGAGCTATATTCTGCATGTATCTTTTTATGTATTTGTTTGCTGTGTGTTTGTGTGTGTGTACACTTGTCCGTGTTTACCATATGTCTATATATAGGGTCTTCAGAAAGTATTCACACCCCTTGACTTATTCCACATTTTGTTGCATTACATTTACATTTACATTTACTGAATTCAGAATGGATTCAATCTGTTTATTTCTCGCACCCATCTACACACGATACCCCATAATGACGAAGTGAAAACATATTTTTAGAAATGTTTGCAAATGTATTGAAAATGAAATACATAAATATCTCATTTATATAAGTATTCACAGTCAATACATGTTAGAATCACCTTTGGCAGCGATTACAGCTGTGAGTCTTTCTGGGTAAGTCTCTAAGAGCTTTGTACATGTGGATTGTTTCTTTTTAAAATTCTTCAAGCTCTGTCAAGTTGGTTGTTGATCATAGCTAAACAGACATTTTCAGGTCTTGCCATAGGTTTTCATGCCGATTTAAGTCAAAACTGTAACTCGGCCACTCAGGAACATTGAATGTCGTCATGGTAAGCAACTCCAGTGTGTATTTGGCCTTGAGTTTTAGGTTATATTCCTGCTGAAAGGTGAATCTGTCTCCCAGTGTCTGTTGGAAAGCAGACTGAACCCGGTTTTCCTCTAGGATTTTTCCTGTGCTTAGCTCTATTCCGTTTCTTTTTAACCTAAAAAAAACTCCCCAGTCCTTTCCGATGACAAGCATACCCATAACATGATGCAGCCACCACCATGCTTGAAAATATGAAAAGTGGTACTCAGTGATGTGTTGTGTTGGATTTGCCCCAAACTTAAGACTTTGTATTCAGGACGTAAAGTGAATTGCTTTGCCACATGTTTTGCAGTATTACTTTAGTGCCTTGTTGCATGTTTTGGAATATGTTTATTCTGTACAAGCTTCCTTCTTTTCACTCTGTCAATTAGGTTAATATTGTGGAGTAACTACAATGTTGTTGATCCATCCTCAGTTTTCTCCTATCACAGCCATTAAACTCTAACTGTTAAAAAGTCACCATTGGCCTCATGGTCTCCCCCCCCCCCCCCCCTCTCTCTCTCTCTCCAGGTGTGAACAGTAAACACGTGGACTTGAAGCTAAAGATGGTGGAGGTACGACCTGGAGGACCCAACTCTTCCTCCTCTCCCTCATCCTCCTCTTCCTCTCCCTCCGTCTCCTCATCCACCTCTCCACTCAGCCCCACAGAGGTACGGACACACACAACACTCACAACACACACACACACACACACACACACCCTGTTTATGCACCAGTCTATTTAACCACTTCATCCTAGGATCTAGACAACACACACACACACACACACAGGTCTATTTGACCAGTTCACCCAACACCACTTAGCTGATCCTCTCTCATGATTATATGAATGTGTGTAAAGCCCAAACACACAGACTAGCATAGTAATGATGCTGTACGCTGCTACGTAGGCCTGTCATATATCTACTATGACCTTTTCAGAGTGTGTGTGTGTGTGTGTGTGTGTGTGTGGTGTGTGTGTGTGTGTGTGTGTGGCGGATGGTAGAGTGTGTGTATGTGAGTATTGACAGTCAACGTGAAATCATTACATCTCTTTAATTGATTTTGAATGTGGTGTGAAAAGGTGTGTGTGTGTGTGTGTGTGTGTGTGTGTGTGTGCCATAAACCCCTGTGCTTATGTGGACTGTATGTTTGCAGATCCACACACACACATTCAACAAAGCAGGATTCTCTCTATTTCTCTGCATCTATAACCAGTGACATTAGACTGTTGTCCAATGAGACCTTCAAACCATGTTAATAACCAGTCACATTAGACTGTTGTCCAATGAGACCTTCAAACCATGTTAATACTACCAGTCACATTAGACTGTTGTCCAATGAGACCTTCCCACTGAGGATAGCCTTTCACTTGAGGCCTTTGTCGGCGAACTGGGCCCACGGACATTCACACACACAAACGTTTCCCTGCTCTCTCATATATATGTGTATATCGCGGCCTCGGTGGCGGACGATAACGCCCCGCCATGCTCAGCAGACCGCAACATTAGTAACGCACCACAAAAACACACACACCATCTCACACCATGACACACACATCAGAGGCCAAATGAACCACCGATTCTCAAACCATGTTAATACATACACATTAGACGTGCAAGAGACTTCAGAGAAAGTGAAGTAAGGCATAGACTGTTGTCCCATGGACTTAAACTGGGAATAAGGGAATCAAGGAGGCATGTTTTGCATGAGAGTGTCAACGTGTGTTATGGTACATTGATGTTGTGCCTGGACCTCACCTGTATTACGGTGGAGTTATTTAATATGGGTTAGGACGGTGTGTTTATAACCAGGTGGGTTTGTATCTTAGACAATGACCTGCAAACATTAAAAAGGAATAACTGTTGTGTGGACTCAAGCATTGTGTGATAACGTATTGATGTGTGGTGCATGAGTCTTGAAACCATGTGTAGCAATCGCGATTAGCTGGGAGGTTTTAAACAGTAATACCATCTCTAGCTTCTGACCACTTGTACCACCTTCAAAAATCCATCTCTCCATAACACACACATAGACGTTTCCATCCTCCCAACTCCCATCAAGCATCCTGATGCTTACGAGAAGGGACAGAGATAAAATGTTCCCCTCATCCCTGGAGGATCAGCTTTCCAGAGGCTTGTGCGGGCGGGGAACGGGCCACGGGAGCATCTCACACACAAAACCGTTCCCTCTCTCTCATTAGGTGATTGTTTATGCCTGACCGGTGGGACGATAACGCCCCGCCACGCTCAGCAGACCGCAACATTAGTAACGCACCACAAAAACACACACACCATCTCACACCATGACACACACACAGACCAAAATGGCCAAATCACCTCAGCCGCAGCTCTCCGCACCGATGATGACTGATAACACAGAAAGGGAGCAAGAGGAGAGAGAGAGAGGAGAGGGAGGGATATCTGCTTGTCCCAGGACTTAGAGGGGGGAAAGAGGGGGTCAGGAGGGCAGGTGTTTGGGGGGTGTGGTGTGTGTGTGTGTGTGTGTGTGTGTGTGCGCGCCTCCCACTGGTCCTTGGGGAGTTTTAATACTGGGGGTGTGGACGGTGGTGTTTATTTAACCAGGGGGGTTTGTAGTCTTTAGACATTAACATGAGGAGTATTAGAGGAGATCTGTGTGTGACTCTAGAGGATTGTGTGTGTGTGTGTGTGTGTGTGTGTGTGTGGTGTGTGTGTGTATGCGCGCACAGGGGGGTTTTAAAGAGGCATCTTCTCAGCTTCTGACCTCTGTGTACTCAACCTCAGGAGAAAGTCCATCTGCTCCTACACACACACACCTTCTCTCTCACACACACACACTCCTGTTTTGATTGACAGATGAATGAAGGGTTCATACCTTTGACTGGCTCTGGGTCGATGGAAAAAGCAGGAACTGATCTAATTCAATGTCTAGCCTAAACTCTGGATTGGAAAAAGAAACCAGTTGTCAACTTCTGAGAGGAAACATTCAGATAATATAAGTGGTTGTAATCATCTCACAGAGGAAGACCATGACGGCCGAAACGTCATGAGATTTAACTCAGTATAGATACATAAAGTATGCCATTTTTAATTGGGAGCGAGAGTGGCTCCTGTTCCTTTCAGATCTAGAATAAGCCCACTGCCAGAGAAGGAGACTAATTGCTGATATTGTTTACTAAATGCATCATTTGAAACTAAGCAGACAAATTGCTATTGTTGTGTGCATGTCTTTCTCAATCAGCTGCCTACACACCACACACACCCCTGCTGAACTATCTCTCTCTACACCCCTGCTGAACTATCTCTCTCTACACTACACCCCTGCTGAACTATCTCTCTCTACACCCCTGCTGAACTATCTCTCTCTACACCCCTGCTGAACTATCTCTCTCTCTACACCCCTGCTGAACTATCTCTCTCTCTACACCCCCTGCTGAACTATCTCTCTCTACACCCCTGCTGAACTATCTCTCTCTACACCCCTGCTGAACTATCTCTCTCTACACCCCTGCTGAACTATCTCTCTCTACACCCCTGCTGAACTATCTCTCTCTACACCCCTGCTGAACTATCTCTCTCTACACCCCTGCTGAACTATCTCTCTCTGCACTTGTCATCTCCCGTCTGGATTACTGCAACTCGCTGTTGGCTGGCCTCCCTGCCTGTGCCATTAAACCCCTACAACTCATCCAGAATGCCGCAGCCCGTCTGGTGTTCAACCTTCCCCAAGTTCTCTCCACGTTCACCCCCCCACCCCCCCTCCTCCGCACACACACTGGCTTCCAGTTGAAGCTCGCATCTGCTACAAGACCATGGTGCTTGCCTATGGAGCAGTGAGGGGAACGGCACCTCCGTACCTTCGGGCTCTGATCAGTCCCTTCACCCAAACGAGGGCATTGTTGTTTCATCCACCCTGGCCTGCTGGCTCCCCTTCCTCTGCGGAAGCATAGCTTCCCGCTCAGCCCAGTCAAAACTGTTCGCTGCTCTGGCACCCCAATGGTGGAACAAGCTCCCTCACGACGCCAGGACAGCGGAGTCACTCACCACCTTCCGGAGACATTTGAAACCCCACCTCTTTAAGGAATACCTGGGATAGGATAAAGTAATCCTTCTACCCCCCCCCCCCCCCCCCCCCCAAAAAAAAATTGTAAAGTGGTTATCCCACTGGCTATAGGTGAATGCAACCAATTTGTGAGTCGCTCTGGATAAGACGTCTGCTAAATGACGTAAATGTGCCCTTGAGCAAGGCACTTAACCCTAATTGCTCCTGTAAGTCGCTCTGGATAAGAGCGTCTGCTAAATGACTAAAATGTAAATGTAAATGTACACCCCTGCTGAACTATCTCTCTCTACACCCCTGCTGAACTATCTCTCTCTACACCCCTGCTGAACTATCTCTCTCTACACCCCTGCTGAACTATCTCTCTCTACACCCCTGCTGAAACTATCTCTCTCTACAACAACCCCTGCTGACTATCTCTCTCTCTACACCCCTGCGAACTATCTCTCTCTACACCCCAGCTGAACTATCTCTCTCTACAACCCCGCTGAACTATCTCTCTCTCAACACCCCTGCTGAACTATCTCTCTCTACAAACCCCCGCTGACTATCTCTCTCTCTACACCCCTGCTGAACTATCTCTCTCCTACACCCCTGCTGAACTATCTCTCTCTACACCCCTGCTGAACTATCTCTCTCTACACCCCTGCTGAACTATCTCTCTCTCTACACCCCTGCTGAACTATCTCTCTCTACACCCCTGCTGAACTATCTCTCTCTCACACCCCTGCTGAACTATCTCTCTCTACACACCCCTGCTGAACTATCTCTCTCTCTAACACCCCTGCTGAACTATCTCTCTCTACAACCCCTGCTGAACTATCTCTCTCTACACCTGCTGACTATCTCTCTCTAACACCCCTGCTGAACTATCTCTCTCTACACCCCTGCGGAACTATCTCTCTCTACAACAACCCCTGCTGAACTATCTCTCTCTACACCCCTGCTGAACTACTCTCTCTCTAACAAACCCCCGCTGAACTATCTCTCTCTCTACACACCCCTGCTGAACGATCTCTCTCTCTCCCCCCTGCTGAACTATCTCTCTCCTCTACAACCCCTGCTGAACTATCTCTCTCTACAACCCCTGCTGAACTATCTCTCTCTACACACCCCTGCTGACATCTCTCTCTACAAACCCCTGCTGAACTATCTCTCTCTAACACCCCTGCTGAACTATCTCTCTCTACACCCCCTGCTGGGAAATATCTCTCTCTACAAAACCCCCCGCTGAACTATCTCTCTCTACACCCCCTGCTTGAACTATCTCTCTCTACAACACCCCCTGCTGACTATCTCTCTCTAACCCCCTGCTGAACTATCTCTCTCTACCCCCGCTGAACTCTCTCTCTACCACCCCTGCTGAACTATCTCTCTCTACACCCCTGCTGAACTATCTCTCTCTACACCCCTGCTGAACTATCTCTCTCTACACCCCTGCTGAACTATCTCTCTCTACACCCCTGCTGAACTATCTCTCTCTACACCCCTGCTGAACTATCTCTCTCTACACCCCTGCTGAACTATCTCTCTCTACACCCCTGCTGAACTATCTCTCTCTACACCCCACACGTCTCGATCTCAAGCAGTGGAACGTGTTTCTCCTAATTGTCAACTTTATTACAACGTTTCGCCATCTTATTAACTAACGTTGGGCCGACGTCGTCAATCTAACCAACTCCTTTCCACTTGGCTTGGCATATTGGACCCGCTGCAGCTCCTAATAATGCAGTATGTTCTCTGTGTGTGCTTTTGATAGGGAGAAGTATGCGTCTAGCTTCTAAACACGTGTTCCGTTTGAAAACAATAGCAGCACCAGCCTTTGCATAATCTGAACTCATTTTCTGGCTCGTCTGGGTTTTGTTGAAACTTAATTGCCTTTTTTCTTTTTCTTTTGAGCGAGAAAAATAAAGATAAACAAACATAAAGAAGTAAGCATATCAGCTCCTGTTGGCATCTGGGGACTATTAAGAGAGTGTGTGTGTGTGTGTGTGTGTGTGTGGGTGGGTGTCTGCACTCATGCGTTTCTATTTGTTTGTTTTTATCAACTATTGATCGAGTTTTTGGATGCTGTGTGTGTGTGTGTGTGTGTGTCTGACTGTAAAAACCTTCCGGTGTGTGTGTCCAGAACAATGCGGAGCGGTTGCGCAGGGCGACAGAGAGACTGCGTAGTCCTGTGGTCTTCAGTCAGGAACCAGCTGTCAGGAAAACACAGCTCCGGTCCTTCAGCCAGTATGTGGAGGCCAGGCCAGGTGAGACACACACCTTACGTGTTTACAAACAGTCACAGTCACCATGCTGACACTCGTTGCCCACCAAACTCACATACACACACACACCTCACCACCCCTCTCACACACACACACATACACACACACACACATAATACACACAAGCCCTCATCTCCCCATGACACCATACGGTCTCTCTCTCTCACCTCTGTGTGTGTTTGTGTTGTCTCACTGTGTGGCCCATGAGGTGTGAATGTGTCACAAATCAGGTTCAACATCTCTCTCTCCCTCCCTTCTTCTCTCTCTCTCCCTTCTCTCCCTCCCCCTCTCCCTCCCCTCTCTCCCTCCCTCCCCTTCTCCCCTCTCCCCCTCCCCTCCCTCTCTCCCCTCTCCCCTTCTCCCCTCTCCCCCTCCCCTCCCTCTCTCCCCTCTCCCCTCTCTCTCTCCCCTCCCTCTCTCCCCTCTCCCCTCCCTCTCTCCCCTCTCCCCTCCCTCTCTCCCCCCTCTCTCTCCCTTCCCTCTCTCCCCCCTCTCTCTCCCATCCCTCTCTCCCCTCCCTCTCTCCCCTCCCTCTCTCCCCTCCCTCTCTCCTCTCCCTCTCTCCCCTCCCTCTCTCCTCCCCCTCTCTTCCCCTCTCTCTCCTCCCCCTCTCTCCCCTCCCTCTCTTCTTGTCTTCAGAGGTAAAGCGTCAGAGATCAGTACCAGAGGATCTGAGGCGAGCGGGCGAGGAGAGAGGACTGGCACCAGACACCGACGCTCGCAAGCCTTATGAAGATGAAGTACTTTACGCATATATAATTCATCCCTCCTTCCTCCCTCCTTCTCTCTTTCCTCCCTCCATCCCTCCTTCCCTCCCTCCATTTCCTCTGTCTTGTTCAGACGTGGTCTCCTGAAAACCCCGGAGAGAAGAGGCTCTTTCCTGTTCTTCTTCTTCTTCCTCTGTCTTTGTCTGATTCTTTAGATGTCAGCCTGGCGCACGGTAAAGCCTGTGCATCAGCCCTGCACCTCGCCTGGCAGATAAACGACAAGAGAAAGAACCAGAGGAAGAAAGAAATAATAATTATTCGTAGCCCACTCCCTTCCCTGTTTCCGCTTTTATTTTCCCACCTCTCCTCTCCCCATCCTCCCCTCCCCTCCTCTCCTCCATCCTTTAGATATGTCAATCAGAGACCACTCCACCTCTCTTTCCCTTCTTCATTCCCTCTCCAAAAGATATCCTGTATTATCAAGGAAAGAGGAGGAGGGTGGGGAGCGTTTAATTATATAACATAGGCAAGTTACCTATTCTCCGAGAGAGAGAGAGAGAGAGAGAGCGAGTAGGAGAGAGAAGAGAAGAGGAGAGAGAGAAGAGAGAGGAGAGAGAGACGACGCATCGTCTCGTCTCTCTGCTCTCGCTCTTCTCTCTCGCTCCGCTCTCTCTATCTCTCTCTCTCTCTTCTCTTCTCTCTTCTCTCTTCTCTCTATCTCTCTCTCTCTCTCTCTCTCGCTCTCTCTCTATACCTTTTTTTTCATGTCCACTTACCTCGTGTTTTGTTCCACAGGCGAACTCAGAATCCCTCTCTCCCCTACCTCCCTGACTCCCCTGCCGGGGCCCTGAGGTTAATGGGTGTTCAACCTTTCCATTATCCCCATCAGTCCTGAATTACCTGCTGAATGATGTTTGCATTAATATAATATATATGGTAATGCCTCAGGTCTAATTAAGGCTGGGTCCAGGCCCGCCAGGCAGGGGGAATGGTCTGATCATGTGTAAAATTGATTTGAGGAGGAGAAATATGTGATAGAGCGAGAGGGAGAGAGGAGAGAGAGCAGGGGGCCGGGAATCAGCACCTCACAGAGTTGCTCACAGACACACACACTCTTGAAGACCACACACCCACACGTAGGGAGGAGTGCAGGAAAAGTGCTGGCCAGTGTGGAATAAAATAATCTAGCTTTCTCTCTCCCTTCCACCCCCCCCCCCCCCCCCCCCCCCCCCGCCCCCCCCCACCCAGCCTCTCTCTCTCTCCTCCTCTCTCTCCTCTCTCTCTCGCTCTCTGTCCGCTCTGTCTCTTCTCTCTCCCGCTTCTCTCTCTCTCTCTCTCTCTCTGTCTGTCCCCTCTCTGTCTCATCTCCGCTCTCTCCTCTCTCTCTCGTGTCTCTCTCTCGCCTCCTTCCATCTCCTCTCCCCTCTCCGAACTCCGTCCTCTTCCACTTACGATCTCTCTTGGGTTCATCTCTCTCTCGTCAGTCTCCGTCTCTTCTCTCGTCTTACTCTCCCTTCATTTTCGCTCGTCATCTCTACTCTCCATCTCATCTTTCTCGAATTCTCCCTCTCTCGGTCTCCTCGATCTCTCGGGTCTCATCTCTGGGTGTCTCCATCACTCCGGGTCTTCTCTCTTTTCTCGTCCTTCTTTCGTCGTCTTCGGCCTCTGCTGGTCTAGTCTTTTCTCTCTCTCTCCTCTCATGGTCGTCTGTCCCGTCTCTCTCGGTCATCATCTCTCTCTCAGCACTCCTCTTTCTCTCCGTTCTCTCTTCGTGGGTAGAGGCGGTCAATAGGCCGTACGTCGCTCCGCCAAAATGGGATGGGCGACCGCGGACACTCTCTCGGATTCAAGAAATGCCGATATCGCCGCCGTGACCGAAGAGGGGCAAGGGGTCGTGTATTCTAGGGATTGATGACGTTGGTTTGGGTGTCTGTCTTTCGTCGGAGAGTATTCCGCGTATAGACGGGTTCTTGGCTCTGGTGCGGTGTGGGATGCGCCCTTCGGAGGATATCAAACCACTGTTTACGGTCGCTGTGCCCCAGACATTGTTTTTTCATCCAGCACCGGGTTCCCTCCCTCGTCAAGGGGCTCGGTGGATTTGCCAAACTCGCTGTGGTTGTCCATGCTCATTCCCGGCTGTCCCTCTTTACTAGGCTCGGACACTCTGGAAAAATATCCGGAGGGCTGATGCCTCGAGTGATTAGAATGGCAATTTGGAAAATAGGGTTGGGGCCGTGGCCCCGCTGTTAGAGTATGGTTAGGGAGTCTCCCGGTTTATTTGGATTTAAGCTCTGGTATGGGGCTTAGTTTGGTCGGCTAATCAGCGCAGGGAGTCCCTCAATAAAGACGGTATCCATCTGGGATCGTCCCTTGCCACTGTTCTTCCTTCGAGGTCCTGTCGTTCTCTTCTGCTGCTCTTCTCTTCTTTTTCTCTTCCTTTTTCTCTTTCTGTGCTCCTTTCTCCCCTGGTCTTGTTCTAATAAGAAATAGGTTGGATCAGCAGCTGGACTATTGTTAAATATACTGTATTTTTCCGAGTAATCCCTATTAGTGACCTAATTTGAGAGAAACATTTTGCCCTCTTTTTCTGAGGACAAGTCTACGGGAAAAGTAAGCAGGAGAGGAGAAAGCATGGTGAGAGAAGGATGTGCCTCTTATCTACATTCTACTCCTTCGCTCTTCTCTACCTCTCTAGCCTTATCTTTTATATATTTTATCTGTATATATGTATAGGATTGACTTGATTACAATGGATATAATGAGATGTTGAATCGTCATTATAGAGTATATACGTATAATAATTCTATAATTAGAATGAAGTCTATTTGTACTCATGTCTCTTTTATTATAAACTTAGATCACTTCTTAATTTATATCCGTATCGAATTATCTCCCGTCTCTTTTTATCGCCGGCTCTCCGTCTCTCCTTCTCTTTTGCTCCTCTCTTCTCTCCGTCTCTCCTTCTCTCTTTCTTTTTCTCCTTCCTTCCTCTGTTTTCTCTCCCTTCTCTTTTTCTCGCCTTCTCTCTTTCTCTTTTTCTCTCCCTTTCTCTTTTTCTTCTTTCTCTCCCTTCTCTCCTTCTTCTTTTTCTCTCCTGCTTCCTTCTCTCTTTATCTCCTTTCTCTCTTTCTCTCTTCTATTTTTTCTCTCTTGTTTTCTCTCTTTCTCGCCTCTCTTGTTTCTCTCCCTTCCTTCTTTTTCTCCTCCTTCTCTTTTTCTGCCTTCCTCTTTCTCTCCTTCTTCTTTCTCTGTTTGCTCTCCTGTCTCTTTTTCTCTTTTTATCTCTTACTCTCCTCTCTCTTGCTCTTTTTCTCCTTTTCTCTCCTTTTTTTCTCCCACCCTTTCCTTCTCTCCTTACTCTCTTCCCTCTTTAGTATCTACTGACCCTTGTCTCTTTATTGGACCTCTACCTTCATTCCTTATATTGAGTTAGGGTTCTCTCTTCTCTTTTTTCTCTCCTTCCGTTGTTTTTTCTGCCTTAACACCAGTTGGCACCTGATCCTATAAGATCATGACTAACGTCAAGGGATTTGTTGGTCCGTTTCTTCTTTTTCTCTGAAGTACTCCTCTTCGCTCCTCTTCGGTTTTCTCTTCCTTCTCTCTTTCTCTCCTGTCTCTCTTTCTCTCACTGTCTCTGGTATGTGTCTCCTACCTTCTCTTTTTCTCTGCCTTCTCATCCTTCATTCTCTTTCTTCTCGGCCCTCTCTCCTTTGCTCTTGAGCCTTCTCTTCATTATCTCTCCTTCGTCGTCATATTTCTCTCTTTTCTCTCCTTCTCTTTTTCTCCTCCCCCTTCCTCTTTTTCTCTCCTTCTCTCCCTCCTCTCCTTCTCTCTTTCTCTCTTTCTGCTCCTTCTCTCTTTCGCTCCCTTCTCTCCTTCTCTCTTTCTCTACTCCTCGCTTTCTCTCTTTATCTTTTGTCCTCTCTTCTCATCCTTTCTGCCCTTCGTATGTGGAGATGTAAACAACAATCCTATATATTATCAACAACTCCTCCTAGTTGGATCTATTAGATCCCCCCATCTCTGTCACATATGGAACGGCTCGCATTAGGTGCTCTGTTTAGAGCGGTGGTGTTTTTCCCACAAATTGCATTTTGGCAAATGTTTGAAAATGACGTTTTATTAGCTGCTTCATTACAGGACTTGCATGTTCAATAATAGGCTATTAAGACAATAGCTCATAATGAAACATTTCCATTCCTCGTATGCATGCATAGTATTTTCTGTTAGGCTTTATTTTTTACAGTTTGTTGACCGGTTAATGAGGGTTGGTTAGCCAGCAGCAAAATTGAATGAAATGTAAGCTAATTACAGGGTATTTTCTGTCTAGAAAATTCTTAGGCGGGCCGTCTAAGTGAACGTTTTCGTGATGGAAAAACAGTTTGCGTCAACTTAAAAGACCAGATAGAAAGCAGAAAATATACTTTATATGTTTTTTAATAATGCCATCTCTGAGAACTAACAATGAGGTATAAGGTAGACAGTCAGGGAGAGTCGAACATTCAAAATACCAGGCATTCAGAGCACATGCCCATTGATTTTGGTATAATGTTTAAGCACAGGAAAACAGCATTAGCCATGGCAAAATGCATAGAAGTACAGAAAATTAGCTTTAAAACTGCAAAATTGTCTCTCAGCTCCATGCCGAACTGTGTAGAATTGCTGGAAATTAGCTTCAAAACAGCAACATTTTCTTCAGCTCAATGGAAGAAAAGAAAAATAATAATTGCAAAAAAATAGTTTTCACAACAGCAAAATGTTCTACGGCACCAAGATTCCTTCTAGCTAATAGACCATGTTAGAGTTTACACTTCCTCTTCCAATGAACTGTGGGGGTGGTCAAAATAATGACACTGTCTACCAAATCTATTCATTTTAAATGTTGATTACTTCTACTAGCCATTGTCATTCACCTGAAAATAAGACAAGCTGTGATTTTTTTTGGTAACATATGATGGGGTTGCTGGTTTGCCTGGGTGGGGGTCCCTTGGCAAGAAAAGTTAGAAAACCCCTGATCTAACGATTCTAATAATTAGCTGGTTCATGAAGTGAATCAGATTAGTTACAACTGGGGTTGGAGTGAAAACCTACAGGAGCGTAGCTCTCCAGGAAAGGGTTGGAGTGAAAACCTACAGTCCGCGTAGCTCCCAGGGAACAGGGGTTGGAGTGAAAACCTACAGGAGCGATAGCTCTCCACACAACAAGGTTGGAGTGAAAACCTACAGGAGCGTAGCGCTCCAGGAACAAGGGTTGGAGTGAAAACCTAACAGGAAGCGTAAGCTCTCCAGGAACAGGGTTGGAGGGAAAACCTACAGACCAGAGCGTAGCTCTCCAGGAACAGGGTGTTGGAGTGAAAACTACAGTAGCGTATCTCTCCGGAACAGGGTTGGAGTGAAAACCCGACAGGAGCGTAGCTCTCCAGGAACAGGGTTGGAGTGAAAAACCTACAGAGCTTAGCTCTCCAGGAACAGGTTGGAGTGAAAAACCTACGGAGCGAAGCTCTCCAGAACAATGGTTGGCGTGAAAACTCAGGATCGTGCTCTCCAGGAACAGGGTTGGAGTGAAAACCTACATGACGTAGCTCTCCAGGAACAGGGTGGAGTGAAACCTATCGGAGCGTAGCTCATCCAGGAACAGGTTGAGTGAAAACCTACAGCGCGTAGCCTCTCCAGAAACACGGTTGGAGTCGACAACCGACAGGAGCGTAGCCTCCAGGAAACAGGGTTGGAGTGAAAACCTACAGGAGCGTAGCTCTCCAGGAACAGGGTTGGAGTGAACACCTACAGGAGCGTGCTCTCCCGTAACAGGGTTGGAGTGAAAACCTACAGAGCGTAGCTCTCCAGGAACAGGGTTGAGGTGAAAACCTACAGGAGCGTAGCTCTCCAGGACAGTTGGACGTGAAAACCTACAGGAGCAGTACAGCTTTCTCCAGGAACGGGTCCGGTAGTGAAAACCAGCAGGAGCGTAGCTCTCCAGGAACAGGGTGGAGTGAAAACCTACAGGAGCGTAGCTCTCCAGGCACAGGTTGGAGAGCCCTGGTACTAGACCTAGTGGCCTAAATAAGTGGCAAATGGCGGCGAGTGTTGGACTGTGACATCAGAGGTTAAGAGTGGGTGACCCCTGACCCCATCCATACAGGGAGAGTAAATTAGGACGAGAGGGCCTAGTTACAAGTCAAGGAGTATAATAGTGTATCACAAGAGAAAAGGTTTGGGTTGAGGAGCATGTCGGGAGGGGACTAGTCAGTTTCCAGGTGTGCCGACTATAACAGAAGTCCTTATCATGTCTGGTAAGCTGCCTATCTATAGCCACAGCTCTGTGAAGAGTGAGGGAGGAGAGAGAAGAAACACTAAACAACAACAATAAGAAGGGAACAACACCAACAACAACAACAACAACAACAACAAGGCCGTTATCGTGGGGCTTCTCAGTCTTCAAATGAAAGCCTTTTGTTTAAAAGAAAATCTCCTCTCTTCCCCGTTTAATAAAGGACAACGTTTTGATGCTGTATTTGATTCCTGTTTGATGATGAATTATAACCCCTCCTTTTCTGTTTCTCTCTTTCTCTCCCTCTTTCCCTCTGTTTATATCTCTCTCTCTTTCTCTCCCTCTTTCCCTCCATTTCTCTTTCTCCTCTCTACCTCTTTCTCTCCTGTCTCGTCTTGTTCCTCCCTCTCTTCCTCTGTTTCTCTCTTTCTGGATTTTCTCTCTGTTTCTCTTCCCCCTCTTTACCTCTCCTTTCCTCTCTCTCTTCTCCTCCATCTCCCCCTCTTCTCTCTGTTCTCCCCCCACCCTCCGTCTACCAGAAGGCGTTCAAAGACACCAGTCAGTACGTGGTCGGGGAGCTGTCTGCTCTGGAGAGCGAGCAGCGCCACATCGACGCCCGGGCGGCGCGCGTGGAGAAGAGGCTCCGCTATCTCATGGACACAGGTACCAAGCCCAATTACACTGGAAAACTGTTTTGGCAAATTGAGCGTTTCACACAAACTCTCACGGAGTTGGGGAAGTGTGTGGAGGCTGTGTGTGAGGCTGTGGTGTCCCAAATGGCACCCTATTCCCTATGTAGTGCACTACTTATATGGAGCCCGATGCACTATATAGGGAATAGGGTGCCATTTGGGACGCGGTGTGGAATCTTTGAAGCAGTGAATGTTGTGTAGCTACGGAGGGAGGGAGGGAGGCGAGAGAGCGAGAGGTGATATGAGGGGCTGGCTGGTGGATATGAAAAGGGGGGAGAGTGGGGGAAATGGGGGAGAGTGGGAGTAGAGGGTGATAGAAGGGGGGAAGAAGGAGGATAGATGGGGGGAGAGAAGGGGAGACCTCTCTGGGCCAGGGTGATAAGAGAGTCTTCATGGGAAATGATAACCAGGCCTGATAGTGTCCCACCAGTGGGGGGGGAGAGCCCCCAGCCAGCCTGCTCAGCTCACATCGAACAGTGTGCTCAGCCATGCACAGCCCCCTCCTCCCCCTTCCCAGTACATATCTGGTCTTCAATGATATGCAGCAGAAGGGGAGAGGGGGATGATTGGTGGGGGTTAAGTGAGGGGGGGGGGGCATTTAAAATAATGCAAGAGGTAACCTACCAACTGAGAAACACACACAACACACTGAGAACAATACACCACACCCACACACTGAGACCACAACACACCCACACTTAGAACACAACAACACACCACTTATAACACAACCACCCACCTTAGAACCATCATAACCACACAAACGCTTCAACTCACACACACACCACACTTGATAAGCCCAACATAAACCCACACACCAACTCTTACACTCCCACCACACACTTATACACCCAACCCCACAAAAACGCTTACCTAACTCAACACACACACACACTTATACCCCACACACACACACTGAAAGCAACAACAACACACACACACAACACACACACACTGAGAACACAACACACACACACTGAGAACACAACACACACAAACGCTTAACTCAACACACACACACTGAGAACACAGCACACACACACTGAGAACACAACACACACACTGAGAACACAACACACACAACTCCTTAACCTCAACAAACCACACACACACTGAAACACAACACAACACACCAACACAACACCACTGAGAACACAACCACACACACTGAGAACACAAACACAAACACACCCATCACACTGAGAACACACACACCCACAACACACAAACGGGAACCACCACACACACATTGAGAACACAACATAACACACACAAACGCTTAACTCAACACACACACACTGAGAACACAACACACACAAACGCTTAACTCAACACACACACACACTGAGAACACAACACACACACACTGAGAACACAACACACACACACACTGAGAACACAACACACACAAACGCTTAACTCAACACACACACAAGGACACACACACTTAACCCAACCCACTCACACACAGATTCACACACTCAAAAGTGTGATCTTTTGGCTTCCATACAGGCTGATTGGTTGGGAAGCGTTGGCTGGTGTGTAACCTTGTAAAGACATGAAACAGACAGGTGTCTGAGCCAAGGGGCTCGGTTCCATTGAGTCCTGTACTGAACAACCTCGAATAGGTGGCTGCCCAAAATTGTAACCCCTATCCCTACTAGTGTCCCTACTTTTGACCAGCTCTTCCATAGGGTGTCCCATAGGGCTCTGGTCAAAAGTAATGCACTTTTAGGGAATAGGGTGCCATTTGGAATGCAGGCTAGCATTCTGTTACTGATACTAAACAATTTATCCTCACAAAAGTGTTTGGAAAAAGAGAGAGGAGGGGGAGAAGCGAGGCAGAGAGAGGGGAGAAAGCAACACCAGGGTGGAGGGATTTGGGATTTTACTGCTCCTCCCGTATCGAGACCATCTCACTGTTTGTTGCATATGCCTCCCTCCATCCCTCTCTCCCTCCATCCCTCTCTCCCTCCATCCCTCTCTCCCCCCATCCCTCTCTCCCTCCATCCCCTCCTCCCTCCATCCCTCTCTCCCTCCATCCCTCTCTCCCTCCATCCCCTCCATCCCTCTCTCCCTCCATCCCCCTCCTCCCTGCCCCTCCTCCCTCCATCCCTCTCATCTCCCATCCCAACCCTCTCTCCTTCCCGTCCATCCCTTCTCCCTCCCTCCCTTAATTCCCTTCCCTCGCCCTCCCTGCTACCTCCGCCCCACTCTCTCTCCCTCCATCCCTCCATGCCCTCTACCCCTGTAGGAGTGAATGCCATTGTGTCAATCTGAAGGGTTTTCCGTTCCATCCCCACCGATGATAAGCGCCTACTGATAAGGTTGTTTACACCCACCCGGCACAGCCGCGCACACACACACACACACACACACACACACACACACACACACACACCACACACTCTCACCACACCCTTTTTCTCACAAACACACACAAACACCTTGAGCCAGATTGCTATTCCACCCCAGCCAGCCCCCTGTAAATAATAAGATGGTAGATAGGTAGTGAGGCAGGCAGGATGGAGGATGGACGCTGCCTACACAATAATAATAATACTAGTATCAGGGAGAGAAGAATTCACCCCCGGATACATCCCCAAAACCCTTGTAGCATCAGTCACCAATGACATGGAGAAAATACAGTTTGGGTAAACACGGAGTGTGTGTGTGAGGGGGGACTGTGTGTGTGTGTGTGTGTGTGTGTGTGTGGTGTGTGAGTGGAGTGTGTGTGTGTGTGAGGGGGGAGTGTGTCTGTGTATTCGCTTATTCTATTTACCTCTCTTCCTGGTCCTTGAAGGCCGCAACGGCATTCGTTCACCTGTTTCCTCCCCTCCTCCCCCCTCCTCCCCTCCTCCCCTCTCCCCTCTCCCTTCCCCCTCTCCCCTCCTCCCTCTCCCCTCTCCCCTCCTCCCCTCCTCCCTCCTCCCCTCCTCCTCTCTCCCCTCCTCCTCCCCCTCTCCCTCCTCCCCCCTCTCCCCTCCTCCCCCTCTCCCTCCTCCCCTCTCCCTCCTCCCCTCTCCCTCTCCCCTCGCCCTCCTCCCCTCCCTCCCCTCTCCCCTCCTCCCCCCCTCCTTCCTTCCTCCCCTCCCTCTCCTCCTCCCCGTCATCTCCTCCTCCCCTCTCCTCCCCTTTCCTCCTCTCCTTCCTCTCCTCCCTTCCTCCCCTCCCCTCCTCCTCTCCTCCCTTCCTCCCCTCTCCCCTCTCCTCCTCCCTTCCTCCCCTCTCCCCTCTCCTCATCCTTCTCTTCTCTCCTCCTCAACAGGTAATTGATCAGTTAAAGTAAGAAATGGGTTTAACTCCCTACTTTAATTATAAGTGATGGCATTAAGCAGACTTAGAGTTAAGCAGACACCCATTTTCCCATAGGTGGCCCCAGCAGAAATCCAACACATGACTTTGGCATTGCAAGCGCCATGCTCTACCAACTGAGCCACACATACGCCACCTCGTTTCCCAAGGCCTCTTTAAACGTGTTGATTGAAGTGGAGTTTCTGGGAAGTATCCCACTTCCAGTTGTAAAATATGTACAGTACCAGTCTAAAGTTTGGACACACCTACTCATTCAAGGGTTTTTCTTTATTTTTATTATGTTCTACATTGTAGAATAATAGTGAAGACATCAAAACTATGAAATAACACATATGGAATCATGTAGTAACCAAAAAAGTGTTAAACAAATCAAATATTTTATATTTGAGATTCTTCAAATAGCCACCCTTTTGCCTTGATGACAGCTTTGCAAACTCTTGGCATTCTCTCAACCAGCTTCACCTGGAATGCTTTTCCAACAGTCTTGAAGAAGTTCCACAAATGCTGAGCACTTGTTGGCTGCTTTTCCTTTACTCTGCTGTCCGACTCATCCCAAACCATCTCAATTGGGTGGAGATCGGGAGATTGTGGGGGCCAGGTCATCTGATGCAGCACTCCATCACTCTCCTTCTTGGTAAAATAGCCCTTACACAGCCTGTAGGTGTGTTGGGTCATTGTCCTGTTGAAAAACAAATGATAGTCCCACTAAGCCCAAACCAGATGGGATGGTGTATCGCTGCAGAATGCTGTGGTAGCCATGCTGGTTAAGTGTGCCTTGAATTCTAAATAAATCACAGACAGTGTCACCAGCAAAGCACCCCCACACCATTACACCTCCTCCTCCATGCTTTACGGTGGGAACTACACATGCGGAGATCATCCGTTCACCCACACTGCGTCTCACAAAGACATGATGGTTGGAACCAAAAATCTCCAATTTGGACTCCAAACCAAAGGACAAATTTCCACCGGTCTAATGTCAATTGCTCGTGTTTCTTGGGCCAAGCAGGTCTCTTCTTCTTATTGGTGTCCTTTAGTAGTGGTTTCTTTGTAGCAATTCGACCATGAAGGCCTGAATCACACAGTCCCCTCTGAACAGTTGATGTTTAGATGTGTGTGTTACTTGAACTCTTTGAAGCATTTATTTGGAATGCAATTTCTGAGGCTGGTAACTCTAATGAACTTATCCTCTGCAGCAGAGGTAACTCTGGGTCTTCCATTCCTGTGGCGGTCCTCATGAGAGCCAGTTTCATCATAGCACTTGATGGTTTTTGCGACTGCACTTAAGGAAACTTTCAAAGTTCTTGAAATGTTCCATATTGACTGACCTTCATGTCTTAAAGTAATGATGGACTATATTTTCTCTTTGCTTATTTGAGCTGTTCTTGCAATAACATGGACTAGGTCTTTTACCAAATAGGGCTATCTTCTGTGTACCCCCCTACCTTGTCACAACACAACTGATTGGCTCAAACGCATTAAGAAGGAAATAAATTCCACAAATTAACTTTTAAGAAGGCACACCTGTTAATTGAAATGCATTCCAGGTGACTACCTCATGAAGCTGGTTGAGAGAATGTCAAGAGTGTGCAAAGCTGTCATCAAGGCAAAAGGGTGGCTATTTGAAGAATCTCAAATATAAAATATTTGATTTGTTTAACACTTTTTTGGTTACTACATGATACCATATGTGTTATTTCATAGTTTTGATGTCTTCACTATTATTCTACAATGTAAAAATAAAGAAAAACCCTTGAATGAGTAGGTGTGTCCAAACTTTTGACTGGTAGTGTAGGTAAAAACAGACATTCCAAGACATCCTACTTGTCATTGTTAAATAAATAAATAAAATATATATCTTTACATATTTACCAATTACTCGGCCACTCAGGAACATTCACTGTCTTCTTGGTAAGCACTCTGTCAATTAGGTTAGTATTGTGGAGTAACTACAATGTTGTTGATCCATTCTCAGTTTTCTCCTATCACAGCCATTAAACTCGGTACCTGTTTTAAAGTCACCATTGGCCTCATGGTGAAATCCCTGAGTGGTTTCCTTCCTCTCCGGCAACTGAGTTAGGAAGGACGCCTGTATCTTTGTAGTGACTGGGTGTATGGATACACCATCCAAAATGTAATTAATAACTTCACCATGCTCAAAGGAAATTCAATGTCTGCTTTTTTATTTTTTACCCATCTACCAATAGGTGCCCTTCTTTGCGAGGCATTGGAAAACCTCCTTGGTCTTTGTGGTTGAATCTATGTTTGAAATTCACTGCTCGACTGAGGGACCTTACAGATAATTGTATGTGTGGGGTACAGAGATGAGATAGTCATTCAGGAATCATGTTAAACACTATTATTGCACACAGAGTCTATGCAACTTATTATGTGACTTGTTAAGCAAATTTTTACTCCGGAACATATTTAGGCTTGCCATAACAGGGGTTGAATACTTATTGACTCAAGACATTTCAGATTTTCATTTTTAATTGATTTGTAAAAATGTCGAAAAACATAATCCCACATTATGGGGTATTGTGTGTAGGCAAATGACAAAACAAATCTACATTTTATCCATTTTAAATTCAGGCTGTAACACAACACAATTTGGAAAAAGTCAAGGGTTGTGAATACTTTCTGAAGACACTGTAAGTCTAGCTAGTCCTGCCAAAAGTGGTGGGCATTTAAGGAGATCCATAGCATGGGATGTAGACTCATCTTGACATTAGACTACTTTAGACGTCTGAAAACATCTGACTAACTTGGTTCTGGAGTGGACTGATGTGTGAAAACATCATCGGTGGGTGTTTAGGATGTGTGGTGGGAGAGCAGCCAAAAGTTTTGTAAAAGTCATGAAGAGAGGGAGAGAGAGAGAGGAAGAGAGAAAGAGCGAAAGAGAGAGGAGAGAGAGAGAGAGAGAGAGAGGAGGAAAAAGGGAGAGGGAAAGAGGAGGGAGAGAACGACAGGAGGGAAGATCAGGAATCGTGGAGCGAGACGTCATTGATGCGTAGAGAGTAAACTTGAGGAACAGTATAGGATCGTGTCCCCCATAATCTATAACCCAAACTCTCTTCCACCATTCTCTTCCCTCTCCTTTGTCCCCCCTTCTCTCTTCCCCCCCCTTCTCTCTTTCCCCCCCTCCTTCTTCCCCCTCCATCTCTTCCCCCCCTCTCGCTGCCTCTCTCATTTTCTGTCTTTATTTCTCCTTCTCCCTTCCCTCTCTCTCGCTCTCTCTCTCCCCTCTCTCGCTCTCTCTCTCCCCTCTCTCTCTCATCTCTCTCCCTCTCTCCCTCTCTCTCTCCCCTCTCTCCCTCTCTCGCTCAATCTCTCTCTCTCTCGCTCCCCTCTCTCTCTCCCCTCTCTCCCATCTCTCTCTCCCCCCTCTATCTCTCCCTCTTCTCTCTCTCCTTCCTCTCCCCCTATTCCCCAGTTTCTTCCCCCAGCAATGCTTTCTGAATTCTGCACCGTTTTCTCTTTTCTATTATGCTGTACGAGACGGTGGTTCTCCCCAGATGAATCCAAAGTAATTGGGGTGGTTAATTTATTTACTGGGAGGCAGTTCACAGCACATTGAATAATAGAGATAATTGAACAAGAATTGTCAAGTGTCTTCTGATATCAGGCACATTACAGAAGGGAGAGTGGCATAAAACTGCCTTTCTATGCACCCATTGTTTATGGTAATGAAGTACAGCCATTAATTCCTTGGTGGCCTTCCAAGCTTATGGCAGGCCCCATTGTTATGTGTGTATTAATATGTAATCAGTAAATAGTTTAATTTCCTAATCTGCGTTCGGAGAATTCACTTTCTAACAACTCTTAATTACTGCAGGGTTCTAATGAGCCCCATCGCCGTGCCGACGCAGAGCACGGGAGCCAGGCAGCCAATCAGAGTGTGGCAGCGGGTCGGGGGGGGAATTTGAATTCCTGGGGCGCCGCTCTCCGCCTAATGAACTTGTTAT